GTTTTGGGACAGTTGCCCTCTAAAACATTTCAAGGAACATACAGTAGTTTGTTATCACATCCAAAATAAAAAATCAATACCAAGAAAACTTCAGTTTTGTATTCCATTGTCCTCATCACAGATGACCTGGAGTTGTATAGCACTCACATGGAGCCAGTAGGAGAGTGAGCAGTACCTAGAGTAATATGAATTGCTGTTAATGTACAGTCACACAGTAGATCAATACTTTCCCTCTTTGTATTTATGGATGTGAGATTGTTATTTCAGATTAATTCTGTTCAGGTGACTCCTGAGGCTGGAAATTGTATGCTGTTCTTGTACCTTTTCCATAAATAACGTTGAGCCCATAACTAAAACTCTGCAAGAGATATGATGCTAGATGCCTCCCAGGGTGCTGAAATGGTAAATAACTATTGTGTAAATCTCAGTCTAGTGAATCACTTTTGAAAATCTTTTACAATGCCTACAGTCTGCTTGCAATACATATCTGGAATGATAAAGTGCTCTTCCTACAGCATCATAACGACGCATCTTTCATCTACTTCTACCACCCGCTAACAGCATTAGGGAATTATCAAAAAACGTACCGGAGAAAAACAAGGCACTGATCAAGCTTTTTTTTTTTTTTCCCAATGTGTACATTTTGTATTTGAGTTAATATGTTTACCTAAAAATAATTTATTTTCAATAATGGTATTTTAACCACTTGCCCTGTGGAAGATTTACCCCCCTTAATGACTAGGTGATTTTTTTGCTATTTGGTACTACACTATTTCAACTGGTAATTGCGCGGTCATGCAATGCTGTACCCAAAGGAAATTTAAGTCCTATTTTTTGTGCAAATAGAGCTTTCTTTTGGTGGTATTTGATCAGCAATGGGTTTTTTAATTTTTGTTATATAAATGAAAAAAGACCGAAAAGTTTGAAAAAAAAACCTAAAATGCCAAGATATTACAACTGCCCCTCCTCCCCCCATGATCCCTTTTGGAAAGTATATACTCCACAGAATTTGATAGGAGACATGGTGAGTATTTTGCAGAAATCATTTTTGTCACAGGGTTGTGAAAAAGAATAAAAGAAAAGAAAAAATACACTTTCATTTTCTTTCTTCGTTTTCCAAACACTTGTGGCAACAAATGAGATCTGCAAAATACTCACCATGCCTCTTAGCAAATACCGTGGGGTGTCTACTTTCCAAAAAGGGGGGGGGCTTCTAGTATTCTGGCATTTCAGGGTTAACATTAGAAGCTTTTGCCACACATCACCCACTTTTCTAACCACTTGAAGACCAAGCCTTTTCTGACACTTTTTGTTTACTTGAAAAAACAGTTTTTTTTGCTAGAAAATTACTTTGAACCCCCAAACATTATATTTTTTTTTTTATAGCAGAGGCCCTAGAGAATAAAACGATGCGTGTTGAAATCCTTTATGTATTTGCACAGCGTTTTTTCAAAACAAATCTTTTTGCTCATCACTTTTTAGAATTTTAATGCACAAAAACACAATATATTGCCCAATTGTTTGCTAAAATATAAAAGATGATATTACACTGAGTAAATGGATACCAAACAAGACATGCTTTAAAATTGTGCATGCCTGTACAATAGCGATAAGTTACATACATTTTTAATATCTAGTTTAGGTATATTTAGGTCTAGTGCTAGAATTACTGCGCTCCATCTGACATTTGCGGTGATATCTCACATGCATGGTGCAATCTCTATTTACATACCGCCAATGGACCACTGCTTTCGTTTGCCTTTGCGCATGATTACCGGGATGGGGGTGAGGATGAGGGTGGAGTACCTTGGAAGATGGCCGGGGTGGGGGGTTCACAATTTTAAAATGGTGCCGTTTATATCTGGCAAAATGGAAATTATGCAATGCTTGTAGCTTCCAGTCTGTCAGACTATAGAGATGCTTTGAGGCATTCCAGTCTGCGATCAGCTGTATTGTCAGCCAGTGGAACTGGCGGCTGCATTTTTGGGTTCCATGGTGGTACGGGAGAGCACAAGAAAACCTTGGAAGGTGGTGGGAGTCCCTTCCCACTGCTTGTAAAAGTGATCCAGTCACTAATTAGCAGTCAGGATTGTTTTTACATTAAAGCTTACCGCCAGCTGAAAAAATTATACCAGGATGATGCCTGTAGCTCCAGGCATCATCCCGGTATAACCACTCAAAGTCCAATGACGTACCAGTACATTGCTGGTCCATGTTGGGAATTTATGTAACAGCAGAGAACATGGGCATATGATGAATCGGGTCTGTGGACCAATATGACTGCAATTCATTCTTTTTGTAATGCCCATGTTGAGGGTCAGGCCCAAAACTGTTTTAAATTCAGAAGCCATGATGGGTTTCCATGTGAATCGTCTAACAGAGCTGAATTTGGGTGGGTGGCGATGTATTGTTGTGCGTATTAATTGCTTTGGCCCACAATCAATTCAGACAAATGTTCCGTGAAAAACAGCGGAGGGGCTATTCATGACAGTTCAAAATACAGTGATCTGTGATACATATATCAAAGACCAGAAGAACCTTCAGTTTAAATCCACTAAATACATTCCATGTACATGAAAACAAAAGATGTTCAACATCTTATGGATTGTTTTCTTTTCTACTGCCTGAGTAGAACAGTCTGTCTCCTGCCAGCAACTGCAAAGTGGCAGCCTTGCTCCTTGTGGAATAGCAGTGGACTCTTATTAGAGGTTTTACACCCTTTGCTGTGCAGTCAGACCTATAGCACTGCAATCAGAAAAGCTCATACTTGCCATTGATTGGGGAGCTCTGACTGAGCGTGGGGCATGTTGGACCTTTGCAGAGAGCCCACTGCGGTAAAGGATGGGCTTTTTTGCTTTGGCTGATTAAAAAAAAAAAAAAAAACAAATTGTAAGACTTTTCACAGCTTTTGTTTTGATAAACTTGAAATGGTTTCTGCTAATTGTATCTTACAAAAAAAAAATGAAAAGTACAAAGAACCTTTTCTGACTGTGCTTCTGTTCTTTTTAAATTTGATTTCTACATTTACTATATATTTATATTTTAGGGGGAAGCTTTCTGAAACCTAACTGGTTTTACTGGGGATTCTTTATGCTACCGGGGATTCTTTATGCAGGTGTTGTTTCTCTTCTAGTGTAAAGACTTACTACTGTTCAATTTGTCATAATTTGTGTTGCTCTTAGTGGTCTTTCAGCAGACAATAATGCAACAGCATGAATAAAGACGATTATGTAATTTACCAAAAGCGACTTCTGTAACTGTAGGTAGGATCTAATAGGCACTGAAGGAAAAACCTATAAAGAACATTTGGCAGCCTGCATTGCCGCTTGGTGTATGGTAGTTACTCTCAGAATATTAAACATTCTACTCCACTGAGTACTACCAAGTGCAGTACAGCTCAAAGCACACAGACTACATATCAGCATCACTCTGTCCTAAGTACAACCATTATTTTTTTTTAATTGAAACATTTTTCATTCACAGTTATGTAACCTGGCTTTTGTTTTGTAGTCCTTATTTTCTCTTACAAAGAAGTTGCAAAGGCATAGTACAACTGTGAATGTACATGTATTTCCAACAATGATCCATTTATAATTACGCCTTCGATCATTTCAGCAGTTTTTATGGTTGCTTAAAAATCATTTCCTTGCCAAATATTTTTATTAATTCTTTTACCATTTTACAGCTTTATTATTCCTTTGTAGCATCGGAATGTGTGACTCGCTCAAACTATTGATTGACGATTATATAATATAATTTTTGGCTGTTTTATGGCTGTGGTTTGAGTAGGCCTAATTATACATCAGGTAAAATTAGGTTGTTTATATAGAGGCAAAGCAGTATTAAACCCAAAACCAAAAATGTAATATATTTCATCTTATCAATTGTTAGATGTGTGTGGCTGCATTTGTTTTCCTTGTTAGGGTTTTTCATATGTTTTAACCTGCTGTTCTGGCCATTAATACACCTCCTGTATTAGCATGCTCCCACTCTGGATGGAGGAGCACAGGGGCACCTTTGGACAGCAGCATTGGCAGTTTTGGGGGGAGGGGAGTGTTAGATGTACTGTAGATATAGATGTTTAATGCACTTACAAATTGAAGCCAAACTCTTTATAAGCAGTTACAGAGAAACCGTTTTATTCTTCGTTTTGGGCTAAATGTTACATCCCCAGTAGTGTTAAATGGTTTGTCTCATCTCTGTAACTGATACATACTGCTGGAGAGCTTGTTCTTTTTAGAAACAACATATTTACTGGCTCGATCACCAGATGAAAATAGAAAGAAAGAAAATGATTGCAGCTATCACATGTAAGAAGTGGTAAGAAGGAATATAATGTTTGATTTTGGGTTTAATATCACTAGGTTTCACATTTTTGTGTATTGGATGAAAACAAATGGTAAGGAAATGTGGCGTGAGAGAGAGAGAGAGAGAGAGAGAGAGAGAGAGAGAGGAGAGAGAGAGAGAGAGAGAGAGAGAGAGAGAGAGGAGCAAGTGGAAGTCAAAAGGATGAGAGTAAAGTAAATCCAGGTTAGGGGTAAGGAAAGATGTCCTTTTCAATATTATAGAATACAGGTTATAAAGGACATCTTTCTCCCAAGTGGCCAAGAAGCCTATGCTTTTCTTCACTCCAATTTTTATAAAGAAGCCCTGGGTGTCTAAGCTGCTCCAGCTGTTCTGCTCTCTGTAGAGATGACTCTGACATTATAAATTATTCATGGGCAGGGAAGAAACAGCATTTATGACCTATTAATGTAGACTAACTGTATTGGGCAAAAATCCTAACAGCCTCTTCATTTTTGTCTTTTATAGAATGGATACATGTTCCAGAGAATGTAATTATGGAAACTGCAAGAGAAGGGTAATGCAGTAGGATTTATGTTTTTGAACATCCATCATTTTTTTCTTATGTAATATGCTGCCCCTTGTGGACAGGAAGACGGTTAAAGTCATGAAAAAACTGTTCATAGAAAACATCGCCTAGAAGATTCTGGAGAGCCATGGCCTCAAAGGTGTCATGTCTATATATTTTGACAGTGGTTTGCTGGGCAAGTGCACTTTGGTACCTAAGTGTCACACTCGTCCAACATCCAACTACAGTGGCTACAGGCTAAGCAAAGTGGTGTTAGCTCAAAAAAACATTACTTTTGGCAATATTAGAACTCGACCCATCAATCCCCATTCATTTGAATTTGTTATTAATGAGCCTGAGAAATGTGAAAACAATGGCAGCCCTTTTTTGGTTATTCTAATAAGCACAACCCATAAGGAGTTTGATGCCAGACAAGCCATCCGAGAAACTTGGGGTAATGAAAGCAACTTTAAGGGAATTAAAATTGTCACACTTTTCCTCCTCGGCAAAAATGCAGATCCAGTATTAAACCAGATGGTTGAGCAAGAAAGCCAGATATTTCACGATATAGTGGTGGAAGACTTTATAGACTCATACCATAATCTAACCCTCAAAACTATGATGGGCATGAGATGGGTGGCAACTTTCTGCTCCAAGGCTAAATATGTCATGAAAACAGACAGTGATATTTTTGTAAATATGGACAATTTAATTTATAAACTACTGAAACCAACTACAAAGCCAAGGAGGAGGTATTTTACTGGATATGTTATCAATGGAGGACCCATAAGGGATGTCCGCAGCAAATGGTATATGCCAAGAGACTTGTACCCAGATAGTAACTATCCGCCATTTTGTTCAGGAACTGGGTATATCTTCTCTGCAGATGTGGCGGAACTCATTTATAAAACATCCCTCCACACAAGACTTTTGCATCTTGAGGATGTCTATGTTGGACTTTGCTTGCGAAAACTTGGAATCCACCCATTTCAAAACAGTGGCTTTAATCATTGGAAAATGGCTTACAGTCTGTGCCGATACCGTAGAGTGATCACAGTACATCAGATTGGCCCTGAAGAAATGCACAGAATTTGGAATGACATGCAAAGCAAAAAGCATCTCCGATGTTAGTTTTGCAATTGGTTGCATATTTTTTTTTAGTTGCGGCAAAGAAACTTTATTGTAAACATGATGTATAGACAATATTTGATCTTTTTGTTTCAATTTGTTGGCTTGTACAGAGCTGGAACCTGAGATTAATCTACATCAATAAAGTGGGCATTTTTGTCCACTTCTCTTAACATTTCACAGAGTATGCTGTAAAATTTAATTCTGGTAACTATTGTTTTTCTTCTGCATCATTTAATGCTATGATAATATGACAAGACATTCTGTATTCCCATAACTCATGAGCAAAGCTATGTATCTCTATAGCGTGCAATACTATCATGTACTCTGATTTCCATCCAAGTGGCAGTGTGCGATGCTCTGTGTTTTAAATTTAGTTTTTTATCACTGGATGTTTTGGGCTGTATTGAGAATGTATGTAGTCTACATTTCATGTCCATACATGCATAGGCACATTTTTCTGTGTTTACAAGTTTGCAGTATTGAAATTCATATAGCCTAGCTGACCAGGGTTCTAACCCTTCCACCTTCTATCCATATCTAAAAAAGCTAGCGTTGGGCTTTAACAAATAAAATACAGTTTTGGAATTCAGTATTGGTATAAAGTAACTGGAATGCAGTATTAGTATAAAGTAGCTGGTAAATGTTCCCTCTTTAGCGAGTGGGCACTAATTTACTGGCAAATACCTGGTAATAATGGCAGTTCCCCTTCTATCCTTAAGCATTCTGACCATACCAAGCATGCCATGCTGGAATGGTCATTTTGCATCCCTCACCTTGCTGAATGGAGCTACAGGACTCTGTGTCAACCCATGGTGTGCCTGTAGTCCAGTGGTCAGCTTTGCTACTATGTCCCTCATTCAGCCCTGCTCTGCTTGACACATCATACACAGACAGGGAATGTATTTTCCCACTGATATCGTTTAGCTTCTTACCCCAGACATGACTCTGCTCAGCCCTTCTCTACTTGGCACATTGTACATAGACAGGGAACATACTCCCTGCCGATGTCATTCAGCTGCCTGCCCTTAGGCAATGAAGACACTCTCATTGCACTTTGTAAGAGGGATGGGTAGAGAGTCTGTGCTGTCACATGACCACTGAATATTAAACACGTTTTTGAAAATGTATTTGAATACCATAATATGCCTTGCTTTCATTGACTCCATATATACCGTACTTTGTTTGCTTGGAATTAAGTTAAAGGGTAACTTACTGTTGCTTATTTACCCACCATCTTTTGTTTTCTTTTTTTTTACAATTGCATATGTATTTTTATTTTGAATAAGCTTTTTATAATCAAAAGCATGTGACTATCTGCTATCCTGACTTAACAGGGTCTTGCTTAATTATTTATTGCAGGGGATAACCATTACACAATTATTTCCTCAACAAAACAGACTAATGCGTGATCAGTTATGAAAGTAGCAGATGTGATTATAGATATCTGGCTGTCTTTTTCCAAAAAATGTTCAGTATGAAATGGAATTGGCACATTTTAGAAATTAAAGACCACTAAAGACATAGTGTGGAATGCTGAAATATAAAACTTATTGCAATGAGTTATTTCACTTTGGAAATGACATATACAACACTTAACGTGATTGTAAAGCCTAGTATTTTTATTAAAATAACAGACATGTTACACTTACCTGCTCTGTACAATGGTTTTGCACAGAGCAGCCCAGAACCTCCTGTTTGGGTCCCCTGCTGATGCTCCAGGCTCCTCCTCTTCTCTGTGTGCCCCTATAGCAAGCCACTTTTTATGGGTCACGTCTGGGCTTGCTCATAAGCTGCGCTGCCTATGTCCATTGATACAGACAGTGCATCTTGGCTCTGTGACCTCTTCACACCATTCGATTGACAGCAGCAGAAGCCAATGGCTCCTGCTGCTGCCCAAGTCCCTGTGAGAAGAGAAAGGAGTGGAGAGAAGACAGGGCACAGCGCTGGATCCTTGACAGGCTCATGTATGTGTTTAGAGTGGGAAGGGGGGGGGGATATTGGGATGTTTTTAACTTTCATGCAGAGAATGCATTAAGGTAAAAAACACCCCTCATTAGAACTAGTTTAACCTCCTTGGCGGTATGATTCTTTCCGATTTTTGGTGCTGAAAGCGGTACCATTTTTTTGCATGGAAATATGTAGTTTTTTATTGTAGGCCTGTAATTTTTAGGAATAACTCACTGAAATCTGTCCGAACAAGAGTCTAGTAAACATCCCAGGTAGGATAAAATTTGAAACACGTAATCATAAATTATAATTTGATAAATAATCATAAAAAATAATAATATAATAATAATAAATTTAATTCAATAATATAATCAAACCAAAAACACTGAAATGTGAAATATAGCGCCAAGTTAGCACATTGCTGAGCAAAATCGCAAAATCGTTTTCAGTGTCTGATGACGATTTTCCCCACAAATCATTATCACTCAATTCTGCAAGTAGTTCTGATTTACTATCGCTGTTCTCCAGCTGGTCTAAAACCGCTTTTGACCTAAAGAGACACTTTTTGGACGCCATGGACGTTTCTCAGTTTCCAGGCAGAAAGAACAGACAAAATGCAGGCAGGGCACAGGACAAAGCATTAGGGACAAAATGTATGTGAAATTGGTTGAGACAGCAATGTTTTACTATGTAAAATGTAAAAAAAAAAAAAAAATTTTTTAAAAAATTTTTAAATTTCCTGCCGCCAGCGGCGCCCGTACGTCCCGACATCACAGGGACAGGACACAGAAGCCGGATGCCGGCATCGGCCGGAGGAGATGGCCAGGGACGCTGCAGGGGACACCTCGTGGGAGCGCGGGGTAAGGTAAGTGAAGAACAAATGCCGGAGCAGTGCCGCATGGTATTCCCGAGTGTAGCTCGGGGTTACCGTTTGTGGTACTGAAATGTTACCCCGAGCTACACTCGGGAATACCGCCAAGGAGGCTACGGTCCCAGTATAGTAACAAAAAAAAAAAATAAACAAAGTGAGAGGACTTTTATTTTTGCTTTAGATAGAGTAGGGAAGGGTTAGGCCCATTTCACATGGGTGATCCAGTCAGGTCCACCTGTCAGTTTTTTAGGTCTGTGCATTTCTATGGACAGGTGGGTGTAAACAGACACAGGATCGTTTACACCTGCCTGTCCCTAGGAATTCACTCTAAAGTAGAAGAGGATTTGTCCTCCTCTGTTTAGGTGGATCAGAGGGTAGTTGGGTGTAAATGGACAACAGAGTCCATCTACTCCTGGCTGCCCAAAGGTCAGTAAGCTCTCTCCATGTTCGCTCTGCAGAGTGGACACGGATATGTCATCTGCCCACTCTCCTCTGATTAGTAGGGGATCTGTGAGCTGATGTCTTGCTAATCAGAACAGAATCTGCCCCATGTGAAAGGGGCCTAAGAACCTTAGTCAGGTTTTCATTGCTGTCTGGGCTTTGCTGGGGAGATTCACCTTCTCCAGTTCTTTTGCTGAACATTGATGGGAAATCCTACATTTTAGAGTTGTGACTGTCTAACTGTGGAAGTTCTCCTGAAGTTCCTCTTGCTTCTTGTTATTTCTATAGGACAAAACGTAAATGAAAGGTCTCCCCAGTGAGACACAGACAGTGTAAATTACCCCACTAGAGGTTTAACCCTTTCCTACTCTATCCAAAACTAAAACAAATGTTCACTTACACTTTAAGGTGGATATTGTTCTTTTACCACAGCACAGGTTAACACATAAACTGAAGTGTGGGGTGATTCATTTTGAAGACCCCCCAGCATACTAGTAGAGCAGAGAGCATTGTAACCCCCACTACTGAGCACCACAAGAAAAATTATCACACAGTCTGTTATCTCACAGGCAGCCAATCAGATTAAAAAGGACAGGTGCACAACAAACGTTTCAATTTGATTGACTGCTATGACATATTGATAAATAAGGCAGTCATTATTTCCTCTTACAGCAAGAGTTCTCTAACCTATTTCATGTTATTTTAGAAATGTTGTGGCATTCGGCTTTTATTTTCTAGCTGCATCCTGAAGTTCATGACATTTTTTCCATGGTATTTGAAATCACTTTATGTTACAGAAAAATACAGAAGTATTTGTTGTAAGATTTGTTAGATATAATTCTAGCCATTTAAAGACTGTAATACATTTTCTGGTAAGTGGGCAGAAATCGTCAAGTTAAAATTCCACTCCAGTTATGATCATTTTATTTATATTTTTTTTGTTTAACAATTTAAACTTAAAGGATCAGAAATGTTATTTACTGAATTGGGAATTTTTCTGTCTGCACTTTTTTGGCTAGTTTTTCTGATTGTTCTGTATGGAACCCTATGGGGTTTATTTACTAAAGCTGGAGAGTCCAAAATCAGACTCCCTTCTGCATAGAAACCAATCAGCTTCCAGGTTTCATTGCCAAAGCTTCATTGAACAAGCTGAGGTTAGAAGCTGATTGGTTTCTATGCAGAAGGGAGTCTGATTTTGGACTCTCCAGCTTTAGTAAATAAACCCCTATGTGTCTTAGAGAAAAACTATGCCATAAAAAGAATGACAACTTATGTAAAAAATTTTGGAATGATTGACATCAATGTGTCGTGGGAACGCTTGCATTTTAGTAACATGCAGCAACACGTTACATGCTCTGACATGCACTGTTGGGCAAACATTTTGGACACATCCAGTTTTTTTGGGAATTCAGCTTTAGGCTTCATGCATGTGAGTGTAATAACATTCTCCCATCTACCCTGGATTTTTCTGCCAGGAGCTGGCAGAACAATTCAGTATAAAATAATGCTGATTTTGAAGTGTATTTATGTGCATTTATGCATGTTTACAAGTGTATGGCATTTAGAAGCCTACAAGTAAACTGCTATTTAAGTAGGCTGCCCTAATACAACGCACAATAACGTGATATAAGGAGTTGTAATGCACTTACATTAAATCCTTGGCGCCGAGCGCACGCAAATAATATGTGGCCTCTTGGCATCTGGGCCTTGGCACCGAGGGGCTGCATATTTGCATATCCAA